ATTCAGAATTATTTACCCTGGTAATAAGGCGGCACGATCGTTTTCAATTAGTGCTTTTTGACTTTTCGTTTATATTTTCTCAATTCAAGATCAACGTTGTTCGACGTTGTAGATTATTTATTTAACAACTACGTGAATTCAACTTCTAAAGACACTTATTAAGATCAATCAGAGCGTAATTGATTTTCCTTTTACCTATTTTCGGCCTATCCTTAAAGATAAAATTTCATGTGATATTCAGTATTTACGGAGCAAAAACAAGTGTTTATATATATTCAAACTATATTAATAGGTTTACATTTTCTGTATATAATCGAGTTGTGTACAATATATCCGTATGATCTTCATTTTGCAAATTTAAATTTCGGGTTATCATTATTGAGTTCAAATGTAAATCAAGGTAGTTTTGCATAAGTATGAAGACAATCCATTCATAGAAAAAAGTTACAGACAAATATAGCAAAAATTAAAATGAAACCAAGCAGCATTCATTATTTTGCCGTTCAAAGGTCACAATCAATATCGTCTATATACAGGAATTGTCTGGCGGAGTGTTTTGTCCAAGTATGAAGACAATACATTCATAATATGACAAGGTCATAGAATATTATAGAGAAAAAAAATCAAATTATGAGAAAAGATCAAGTTTAGTATGATCCACTTAGCAATAATTCAATTTGAAAATTGGTGTTGTAATACCATATTTCTACTGCGTTACTAATTCGTCTAGTATTTTTGACAACATTTTTGTAATTTACGTAAAAGGTAAGCGCCGTTTGCGATACTTACTGTTTTCACTTCACTATGTTTAACTATAAAACATATTTTCAGAAACATCATGAAAATTAGCGTGAATCTGAAGGTATGCTGCTGTTTATAATACATGTAGCTGTATATTTTACCACAATATGATGACATTAAATATGGATCGTCCTTCAGTATCATACTATCATGTGATGGACAGAGGATATTGAATGAGTGTAGAATCAATATTGAATTTATTTCATGAGCTGAACATTTATTATGCGAGCCTATAGTAAGTATCATATTATTTTACTCAACGAGTTTAATAAATGCAATAATGAAGCTTTTTATCACATATCCGAATAAGTATTGTATACATTAAAATCTCATGTTTAACGCTAGCATTTAGCGCATCTTTACGCAATGTTCTATTTAAATTATAAAATGCAAACGGCATCACGTCATAATATGACACGGCCGGGATGTAGCGTTTTTATTACATCGCAATAGCGACGGAGACCGACAAGGATATGTGATAAATATTTCCTTTTTGGGTAGTGTTTGAGTTTGTAAGTATGCAACAGATATATCATCATCATCGCATGTATAAGCTTAACAATCAATACTAAAATAATGCTGGTCATCAGTTCATTATAACACTATCATCTCAGATTCATTTTATCTTCAATATTAATATGTGTGCGTGGCAAAGATTTAGCAAAAATATTGACAAAAATATATAATCTGGAATGTCTTCTATCGGTCATGTTTAATTTATAAATTTCTTACATATTTAGACAACATCTGTGTTTGCAAAAAAAACTTCAATTCGCGTAATTTATTATCAGATATTACTCGACACTTAAACGGTAGCCATGCAAAAATAATTTCCTTGTTCCAAAAGGATTCTCTAAAATATCCATGGTAAACTGGTGCATGTTGTTTATATTAACAGTCTGCAGCTGGTATGTCAAGAAATCTGTGTTACCAAACATTATCTGAAAAAGAAAAATGACAACATTGTCGCAAAATACGCCCGTCACAAAAACTTTTGACAGAGATGTGGGCATTATATGTATGCATATAAGTATATAGGTGATATGAACTAGGCAATATCCGGACAATATCTGGATATGTTATCATCTCTAGTGACCTTAACCTTGAAAATGAATATATAAATTACATGTGTGACTATTGATAGTTATCATTTGTGTAACAATCTATCAATAAATGATTAAATGGTCCCCGTACACACATTTTGTCCTCTATATGTGACCTTGATTTTGTATTATGTCCGCAATACTTAGACTCACAATGGTTAACATTTGTGCCAAGTAACATTAATTCCCCCAAAGAATATAGAAGTTCGGCTTTGAACAAGCATTTTTAATGCCCTCTAATTGTGACCTTAACAGCCTCGCAATGGTGTATATTTGTGCAAATTAACATTAAAATTCCTAATGAATGTAAACGTTCGGCTCCGAACAAGCATTTTTCAATGACTATTAAGTGTGACCTTAACCTTTTACCTAGATACCATGCATGTGACACTACTTCTTATAGTGATGAACATTTCTATGAAGTTTCATTAGAATCCATCCATATGTGAAGGATATATATTCTGTACAATCTCTATATTTTATCATCTCTTGTCACCTTAACCTTGCATATAATAACCTTTATTACACGTTTCACACCAGTAGTCATGATAATGATCATTTGTGTTTCAATACTTTAATAAATGTTGACTTAATGGTCCGAATGCACATTTTCATCTAAACTTTGACACCTACGTGTGACCTTGACCGCATAGGATCTAAATTTTGCACGCGACACTCCGCCTTTACAATGGTGAACATGTGTGCCAAGTAATATTGAAATCCCTGTACAAGCTATATGCATGTAAAAGTGTAAAAGTTTTTCTCCGGAAAAGTGTTTTTCAATAATATCTAAGTGTGACCTTTGACTAGAGACCTGATTCATGTGAGTTTCATTGAAATTCCTTCTTAAGTGTAGGAGATATGGTCTGCACGCCAGTATATATAAGTATAAAATATGATAATTTACTATAAAATCATTATTTTAAATTATATTAAGTCTTTTACAAAATATGTACTCTAGCTACTGGAAAATTCTAAATGTTAACAAACACAGGCCTGTATTCCCGGTGTACATAAAATAATGTTATGTTATGTTATGTTTTGTTATGAATAGGCTTGAATAAATAACGTGTATATCAAATATCTGACTATGTGCCTAGACAATATCACGTTAACTTCCTCTGCTGATAGGATGACGTCATTCTAAGAACATTTAGTTTAATAACTAAGGAAACGAGCGAGAAACAGTCATATGAAAACATCTGATAGAAAGTAGGAAAATTTAGATTGCGACGTACGAAGAACGTGCGGCGCAGCGAAAACTTATCTTGTTCTGATGAGAACTGTTAAGACTTTACAAGTAATACACTGAATAGAACAGTTTAGCAACATATTCCAATATGATAAATGACATGAATAAAAAACAGACGTTTGCATTACCAAAAGTAAAAGTTAAAAAAAAAACGAACAGTATGACCAATCTCTGACACCTATTTCCTACAACAAGTGCAAGTGTAATTAACTATGCTAGAGGTGTAGTACTAGCGAAAATTAATGTATGCCACACAAACATTCGATAGAAACTAACAACCACATGGTTTAAGTCTTTTATTGGCGATTCATGGTAAAAACGATATTGTTTATGCATTGATTGGCCAAAAAGTGTACTTTTTGAGGGTCACTTAAAGTAAGTTTTACTTCCCTAAAGACGGTGCAATAATTGTGTATGCTCCATGGCCCATTTCAAACGGGCTTTGTGATGTCGACGTTTCAATTAGATTTTTCTCGACCGTAAATTACCTTCATGTAGCCTTCTACGTTTGCCTAGACACATGTATCCCGCGGCATAAGCAATGTCATTTTGAAGAAAAAATGCTGTCAAAAATCTTGCACGATATGGCTTTGATGAATCAGAATTTTCAAAAATTGGAAAGAAATTATACTTGTGATAATATAAGATGGTGCTCAGCAAAAGTTGAGTGGTTTGATTTTGCATGCGATACCAAATCAAGACGGTCTTAATATCCTTAACCCCTTACTGCATGAGCATTTTGTGAAATGGCTGTTTTCATTGAAAAGTTTCCCGTTACAAGTTCAAATTCAAATTGCTATAAAACTATAAAACTATAAAAATGCTTCAATACTAAGCAAACTTGGCACACATGTTGACCATTGCCTTTGTAACAACATGCTTAGTCTTAATTTTTCTGTTACCATGACAACAAGGGGACATCTCAAAATTGCCAAAAATAACTATTTTGCGATAGTTTTTCCATTAAAATTGATTTCAAAGTGCTGCATCTTCTCACTGGATTGAGATAGAGTTAAAGGCTTTTTCGTGTTGGTTACACGTTACATAATTATCGACCTTAGGACCTAGCCTCTAACAAGTCCAAAACTGTCTTGGCGATGAGGGGGGAGGCTACCGCCGCCCTTCAAAGCCCAAAACACAAGCGGGCACACCCCCTTCTGGTATCTCCCTGATGTAACTTTTGGATAGGGGCGGCGCCAAAAAAGTGGTCACTTTTTAAACAACATTCCTCAAACAAAAACAAGTGTTGGGGTTTTTTTTAAGGGTTTTTCCCGCCATTTAAAGACAACGGGGGAGGGGTAGAGGAAGGCCGTGAATTTTGGGTTTAAATTGGGTAACATTCTGTTCAAGGTTTGTATGTCTTGAATGTTGTACTTTTTGGGTTAAAGGTAGGGATAAATATTTGCCTTATCCCAATGAAAAAATTTAAACTGAAAAAATTTGAATAATGCCCCATCATGACTTTTAAATTTGGGATTTCCTTAATACTGAAAAAGGCAAAGGTATTTTTTTATTTTTCCCATTTTTTTGTTAAAAAAAACCAAAACAAAAAAGGGGTTTTTTAAAAAATTTAACCCTTTTTTTTAAATTTGAATAAAAGTGTAAAAGGGAGTTTTTTTTACATGGGCGTGCCCGGGTTCCCAACGAAATTTTAAAATTTTTTTGTAATTCGCGTCATTTTTTTTTGTAAAATAAGATCGATTAATTTAGAATAAAAAACTAGGTTTATTTTTAAACAGATTCATTTCCGGACAAAAACTAAAACAATTGTACAATTTCATTTTCTTTCACTTTTCGGCATTGTTTTTGAAACTCAAATCGTTCAAAATTTACGAGATTGAAAGGGTCCTCTTCGCAGACTTTCACATTCTCCTCATTCTTATTGATCTCGCTTTCATAAAAGAACCTGTTTGATGATGATAATAATTATGATGATAACAGAAAATGTAAATGTATATTGATAAAGACGATGTTTGAGTGATTGGTTGATTGATTTTATTCCTGGAATAAAGGACTTTTATAGACATATTACACATACACAAGAAATACGCTTCCATATTTGATAGCAAAGAAAAGTATAAACAAATGTCTAAAAGAGTTCTAATTTGATATTCATACGTAAGTTTTACGAGGAATGATCAAAAAAGTTTTTCGGGCCCGATATACATCTAGCCACTACACTGACATTTACACACGATACGTCGATACCGATATCTTATTGAAGATTACTGACGGAGTTACACGCGGGATAACATAAAACACACTTTGATCAGTAAGGTTTTGTGCCATTTTATACCAAATCGAGAAAGTTGAAATCAGATACGTCATGAAATACCTCTGTAAAAAAGGGATGTGCACCAAGGAAATCCATGACAACTTCATAGATACACTTGGGAAGAAGTCCCCTTCTTATAGCACTGTGACAAAATAGACTGCTAAATTTTAGGGGGGCAGGGAGAGCATTGGAGATGATGGGCGGCCTGGGCGGCCAAAAGAGGCCATCAATGATGAAACTGCCGAAGCTGTGCACGATCTGTTCATGTGCGACAGAAGTTGAGACCTGCGAAGCTTTGCTAGGGAAGTGGATATACGCTTTGGTAATGATTATATAAAAAAAAAAAAAAAATAAAAAAAAAAAAAAAAAAAAAAAAAAAAAAAAAAAACAAAAAAAAAAAAAAAAAAAAAAAAAAAAAAAAAAAAAAAAAAATATAAAAAAAAAAAAAAAAAAAAAAAAAAAAAAAAAAAAAAAAAAAAAAAAGAGATAAAAAAAATATAAAAAAAAAAAAAAAAAAAAAAAGTTCAGATGGACAATTCTGGACATAAATGCCTATGACATGTCAAAGCCATTTCTGTCTGATGATCCCACAGGCAGTTTGACTGATGACAGAAACCCGGATCAGGGGCTTTATCTCCGGATCGTACTTTAATGAATGAAGAACATGGGACCATCACTTCGATCTAGAATAAAAACAGAGCATGCAGTGGAAGCACCAAGGCTCACCTCATCCCCTTCGAAGAGATTCATGAGGGTGCCATCAGCAAGGAAGATAACGGCTTCAATTGTTTGGGATAGTCAGGGGATAATCATGATTGACAATCTTGAGCAAGGTCGTATCATAAACGGTACGTACTATGCAGACGAATTGAGACGTCTGTGTCAAAAATCGCGCGTAAAAGGAGAAGAAAACTGACTAAAGGCGTTTTGCACCTGCGGGACAATGCACCAGCTCACACATCCCAAGTTACGATGGCTGCTGATCCTGACTGCGGCTTTGAAATTCTTCCTCATTCCTCATTTTCTCCGTACTTTGCCCCTCTGCCTTCTACCTGTTTCCGAGACGTTTTGAAAGCAATGAAAGTGTCATGGAGGCGGGCTATGAGCCTTGATGTAGAGGGCGATTATATTGAAAAGTAAGACCGTAAGTTGGGTTCTCTGACTACCGGAAGTACATTGGACCAATAACTTGTTTATCAATCCTCGTACATGAAGTTAATTTCTAAACAAACATATAAGAACTAACACAGGAATAAAAGTATATCTATTTAGCGTGTGACTAGATATTACTGAGTTATTTCAATTTTGCCGTGTTGGGCTTTCTTTAGGGATTCTATATTTATCTATTTTATGATCACATCCGTGTTATTTGTGCCGTGTGGCGGCTGTAAAAAGTATCCCCGTACATTTAATCAATGATGTTATATTTTCGATCCTTGAAGATCGTTAAGCACGACATTATTGTTGTGCTTTTGGTATTTTTAGTTTCGCCTTTTCGGCATTTTCTATATGGGTGGTTCCAATATTCCTACTTGAATAATGTTGAATCACCCTTAGGATATGTTGCCTGCTTTTTAAATTTGTCTTTTGACGTCTTATCTGTGATACGCAGGCTTCATAACCTCTGATCCCCTTTCAAAATTCCATTTTATTTAGTTCCGCCCATTGTTTTCTCGTTTAGGGCACACGCTTTTTATTACTTGGGGACCATACGCCGCTTTTCATGGAATGGCACGGAAGTGTCACATTGAAGGTTCCATGATTACCGCCGTATGAACACATCTGCGGATGTTTCTAAATTCAAATTTTTACTATTTCTCGTTTAAATGTTGAATTCTGCTTAAGCCGGTGCTAGGGGGGGCATGGACAGTAGCTTGCACTTCCAGTACTGTCCATGAACAGACTCAATCAAACCGAGCCTGCACCATTTTCAATTTTGCCTTGTTTGGACTTTCTTTAGGGATTCTGTATTTATCTATTTTATGATCACATCCGTGTTATTTGTGCCGTGTGGCGGCTGTAAAAAGTCTCCCCGTACATTTAATCAATGATGTTATATTTTCGATCCTTGAAGATCGTTCAGCACGACATTATTGTTGTGCTTTTGGTATTTTTAGTTTCAACTTTTCGGCATTTTCTATATGGGTGGTTCCAATATTCCTACTTGAATAATGTTGAATCACCCTTATAGTCCAAGAGATGGCGGGGTTTTATTGCAATTTACCGTATCACCAAAAGAAACATCGCCATTATGAAGCATATTGTTTGTAGTTTCTAAAAACCCATTTCTTAAGTTACGCAGCCCGGGCAAAAGTACAAATATCCAAGATGGCCGCCAATATGGCTGCCAGAAATTACAAATACCATATAATTTTTGTTTCTTGATTTTTTACATACGGATTTTGTACAAAGTAGTTTCAATTGCACAATATCAGATAAAATATGGCTAATTTATGGTTCAATCATGCAAAAATGACAATTATATGGCAAACTTTTAAATAATCACAATCAATTTACCAAAAAAGTGGTAAAAAATGGCATTTTTTGACAATATGATGACTTTCATTTTTCCGTATTCACACAATATAAACAAAAATGCATTTAAAGTGTGTGTACTTTATCAATTTAACATAGTTAGACAATTTAGGCATAAAAAAATCATTTCTGGTCATTTATGCCGTAAGAGTAGATCTTCAAAAGTGGGTGGGGTAAAATTATTGGGAAAAAAAATCAAAATTACAATATATTCCAAAAACATGCATTTACATAATAATTTCAGTTTAATGTATAATAGTAAATTGTGTTTTAATTGAATTTTATTAATCATTTGAACATTTCTTGATAAGTTAAGCTTAACAATTTATTACCTGATCATTTATCACAGATGAGTACAGCTTCAAAAGTGGGTGGGATAAAATAACCGAGAAAGAAAGAGGAGAAAAAAGAAGAAAAAAGTTCAAATTATTAAGCTTCTAAAACTTGCCTTTACTTTTCAATTTTAGTGTATTTATCATGTAATTGAATTTTGTGATAAGAAATATAAAGAATGTATTACATTAAAGAAGAAAGAAACATCGAGTCATCGCAATTTAAAATTATCACAAAAAATGAATGGTACCGAAACACATTTTTGAGATTTTGTTGCCTTTATATCGTAGAATAAAATAATTTCATAGTTGTCTGTCTTTATCAGTTGATTATAGCTTGATAAGTCATTGAAAGTAGTTACCTTATCATATATCTTAGAGTTTTAAAACTCTATATTGAAAAATAACACCTAAACCATTAAATATAATGTTCATCAACTTGCTTTTATTGGTCTATAATATATGTTTAACAATTATATGATGGCATTTTTTATGTTTTGGAAACAAAAATATTGTATGGATAAATACTTTTTTGAAAAGATTTTTTGATAATGTTCTTCCAGCAAAAGTTGTAAAGTGGATATTCGATCTCATTACATTTTAATATAAACTTTAATTTTGGTTGATTGGTATCATTTAAACTTTGACTACTATAATATCTAACATGAAAGAAAAGAGAAATGGTTATTGTCATTGATGAAAGGAGCATTTATTAATGAATGTTGTGCAAATAACATACTGAATAAAATCACAGTCATAGAAAATTGCAATAGTGGATAGCGAAATGTATTTAAGTCTTTATCATATCAATTAAACTTAAAATACAATATAAATGCATATATTAATATAAGTATAAATGCATTAATACATTCTGCACAAAAGAAAACAGTCAATTTCAATACTTAAAATAAAAGCAGCATTTTATGCCCTCCCGTACAAAATATTGAGAGGAATTATTATTTGTACAATGCTTCCATTTTCCTTTCTTTGAGTGTGGTCCATACCTTTGCATATTTTGCATAAATTGTGCACTGATGGTCATGTTAAGTCAATAATTATGTCATTCCTGGATGGATTTTTTAAATAACTTAATAAAAATGTGTTTTGATATTATATCGATTTGTCACATTCAAAAATCAAGTCACACTTGAACTTCCGTATTCATAATATGATTAATAGATGGCGTTGTCTTTCCAACGACATTGTCTTTCATGGATGATTTTTTTTACAATTATACATAACTTTTTTTAACATTGATCTGATGTGTATCACGCTAAAACAAGATGTGTTGCTCAAAGTCACCGCTAATTTTTCATTTCATGCGTTGATACTTTTGTCTGGTCAACAGATGTGTTGCATGTTAAGGTCGAGTTAATTGTGGGACCATACGCCACGTTTAATGTACTGGCTGAAATAAGTCACATTGAGCTTTCCATGATGACATCAGTATTAACACATCTGCGAATGTTTCAAAATTCAAATTTTACTATTTCATGCTAAAGGTTGAATCATCATTGAGGAGTTGCTTGGGGTGTGGACGGTAGTTTGCACTATCCAGTACCATCCATGAACAGGCTCAATCAAACCAAGTATGCAACATTTTCAATTTTACTGTTTATTGGAAGTTCTTTAGGGGTTGTATTTTTCCCTATTAACACCTGTAACTTATGCCAGACTAGCATTGTTTAGAATACATATGCTCAAAATCGTACAAGCAAATAGAGAGATACACAATATGGCACATTTACACTCGGTTCGATTATGCCTATTTTTGGGACAGCAATGATATATGCAAGCTTCTAACAACGTCCTCCAAGCAAAATAAAATTCAGTATTTAAACAAAAATGTAATGAAATTATAATAGTGAAACTTAAAATTTTAAGCATCCAAAGATCTTCAATGTAACCATTGCGTCACTCCATGAAAAACAGTGTATGGCCCAAGTAAAATAATGCGTGTAGCCTAAATATGAAAATTATGTTGAACTTAATGACTGAACTTTTTAAAATAGGGTTATGAAGTCTTAATATCAGATAAAAGCCAACAAAGGAGAACTCTTAAGTCAGGCAACACATCCTTAATGGTGATATTCAGTATTCACGAAGGAATACTAGAACTACCCAACGGGAAAAAAGTCAAAAAGAAGAAACTAAAACTATGCAACACAGCAATGTTATTGTGCTGAACGATTTTCAAGGATAAAAAATATAACATCCCAGATTGATCAAACTGTCAGGAGCTGATGCACCATTTTTGCCATCTACACAGTCAGTTCTCAGAGTGACTCCCAAAGTACTGACATTTAAAACCTTATTTTTGCCGAATACTGAGACTACACATAACATAGCTAGTGGATCTGAAGGAAACAGCGACTATGTACTTATAGATGTAAATTACAACTAAATGCTGGTCGGTTGCTTAATGTGAAAATTGTTGCTTTTAAATCGACTTTTGTACAGAATGTATTAGTGCATACTTTCAAGATGTATGTTTTTCTGTGACAAGTATTGATAGCTTAAACATGTTTTAACTATTTGAATGTTTTGTGTGCAGTTAATTTCACAACTTTTGCTAAACTTATTCATATATGATTGCTTATTTTATAAATGACAATACTTGTTACCTGTGTCAAATTAAAAAATGATGATGTGTTTAAATCAAATTTCACAACTACACTCTCACAAAATGCATTACAAAGATATCATGGTTCTTGATTAATATATAAGTGTGTCTTTTGATGTTTTTAATGCACTTGTTCTTGATTGTAATTATGATGCAAAATTTCTTACCTTTATCAAAGGCACATTATGCCTCAAAAACAAAAAAAAATAAATAATGGTTTAAGAGAATGTAAGATGCTTGTTACCTGAATAAAACAGCGATAAATCTAAAATTCTTTGTAGTAAATGTAGCAAAATGACTAAGCAAAGTAGTATTTTAACTTCCATACAAAATACTAATTCACTTTACTTATTGCCAAAATGTAACAGATAAAAAAAAGTTCTGGTGATTGGCCAGTGAGTGACGATATGGATAACATAAACCTATACCAAAATTTATAAAATCTTTAGAGAAAGGAAGATAAAAGCTTGTCTGAGGCATAATGGGCCTTTAAGAAAAACATAACCAATTATGTACAGGTGTTGTAAACATGTATCAAAATAAGTGATATTACATTTTTTGGTAGAAAGAACGTAATAAAAACTGTTTCTGCCCATAACTGTATGTTGTATAAGCATCGTGATGTCTTCAGGTTTAAGTTCAATTTTATCCCACACACTTTTTAGTGCTACTCTTCTGAGACACATGCCTCGCGACAATTTAAATTAAAGAACACTTTCGTCTATTTTATGATACAAAGATGAAACAAAAGTTACAAAAATACTAGCATTTTGTTTTCATACATTTTTGTGTGAATTAATTATGATAGATAAAACATTTAAATGATGTTTTTTTTTCTTAGTTTATTAAAGAATTTATATACTGAAATTTGAAAATACTTGAAATTGCAATACAGCCTCTTTTTTAAACATAAAATAAACATCTTTTTGAGAACAAACATACAAGATTTGATACGTTTTTTCTCCATACACTATAGATAAACACAGTATAAATACATAACGTCATTATAACTGGCGATTTTTAATGAAGACCATATTAACTTGACCAACAATAGGGAGTAAAGCTTTCCAAACTTTTTTATTAAAAAATATTCAGTAAGAATTTCGTAGATTTCACAAAAATATCTGCAATAAACGTGTTTTACCAAAATATGACTATGCTAGGTTCATCGTTAACATAATTTATTTATAATTATTGTCAGAAAATGGCAAAACATGACTATTAAACATTAAAAAGTAAAAGCATGTTCAATTAGCACTTTAATTTTGAAAGTGTTTTGTTGGACCCATTTTTTTTTTAATTCTATCCCTGTGTGATACATTCTCTTGTAATGATTTTAATGCCAAACTAATACAGCTATAATCAGCTAAAACAACTGTAGCACAATTATTCTACTTTGTGTCAAAAAGATATACTAAAGGGCAACAAAATGCAAAAACTGTGTTTTTTACCTGTTAAAGTTTTGGTTAATTGTGATTATCTTAAAGGTTGCTATGACATGATGTTTCTTTTCTTCTTAAATGTAATAAATATTTATTTTATATCTTACCACAAAATTCAATTAATATATTATTATTGCACTAAAATTGTGAAATAAGGGCAAGTTTAAGGAGCTTATTAATTTTGAGCGCGCTTTCTTGGGGTTATTTTACCCCACCCACTTTTGAAGCTGTACTCTTCTGTTATAAATGCGTCAAGTTATGACTTTTTATGCTTGTCTTATCAACAAATGTTAAAATGATAAAGAACATACAATTAAAACACAATTTCCTATACATTAAACTGAAATTATAAAGTAAAGGCAAGTTTTGAGAACATTGTAATTTAATTTTTATTTCGGTGATATTACCCCACCCACTTTTGAAGATCTACTCTTACGGCATAAATGCCCAGAAAATGATTTTTTATGCTTAAATTGTCTAACTATGTTTAATTGATAAAGTACACACACTTTAAATGCATTTGTGTTTATATTGTGTAAATACGGAAAAACGAAAGTCATCATATTGTCAAAAAAAGCCATTTTTACCACTTTTTTGGTAAATTAATAGTGATAATTTAAAAGTTTGCCATATAATTGTCATTTTTGCATGATTGAACCATAAATTAGCCATATTTTATCTGATATTGTGCAATTGAAACTACTTTGTACAAAATCCGTATGTAAAAAATCAAGAAACAAAAATTATATGGTATTTTGTAATTTCTGGCGGCCATATTGGCGGCCATCTTGGAGTTTTGTACTTTTGCCCGGGCTGCTTAACTTAAGAAATGGGTTTTTAGGAACTACAAACAATATTCTTTATAATGGCAATGTTTCGTTTGGTGATACGGTAAATTGCAATAAAACCCCGCCATCTCTTGGACTATTAGGATATGTTGCCTGCTTTTTAAATTTGTCTTTTGACGTCTTATCTGTGATACGCAGGCTTCATAACCTCTGATCCCCTTTCAAAATTCCATTTTATTTAGTTCCGCCCATTGTTTTCTCGTTTAGGGCACACGCTTTTTATTACTTGGGGACCATACGCCGCTTTTCATGGAATGGCACGGAAGTGTCACATTGAAGGTTCCATGATTACCGCCGTATGAACACATCTGCGGATGTTTCTAAATTCAAAATTTTACTATTTCACGTTTAAATGTTGAATTCTGCTTAAGCCGGTGCTAGGGGGCGTGGACTTTGCACTTTCCAGTACCGTCCATGAACAGACTCAATCAAACCGAGCCTGCAACATTTTCGATTTTGCCGTGTTGGGCTTTCTTTATGGATTCTATATTTATCTATTATTTGCTACTATGAAAACACATGCTTGATTGGATGCGATATACAAAAGTCTTGGATTTGCCATACAATTCTGAAAGCTTAATTCCAATAGTGTCATTGGAAATATAATTACTACAATATACAATACAACTAAACAAACACAATATAAAAATGTAGTGAAGATGAAGATTAAGAATGATTGGAAGCTGTCAAAAAGTATACTTATATAAACTACATGTCTTATTTATTTTCTTGAAATGAGTAACATAAAGCAACACGAAGTCTGATCAAGTGCAATTACAATTAAGTACAAGTTTTAACTTATTCTATTATTAAATATTTGTCTTTTTTATTGCTTTAAAAACATCAAATCTTTGTTAGTTTTTTTATTAATTTCTGTAGGCAAATATTTTCAGTCATAAAAATTAATGCAATATCAAAAAGGGTTATATTATCTTTTCCATTTCGAAATTCCAAAATAATCTAAACCTTTGTTCAGACCCTGGAACATAAATAATCTAGGTGGCAATGTATAGTTGCTAAACATAATGTTCTAGTCTTGTTATCTAAAAGTCTTGCTTGTCTTTACATGAATTTACGACGTGTGTCTACGTTACAAAGAATATCATTTACAAAAAAATCACCTGACAAAGAATGGTCAATATTAAGCCCTATATATCTAATAGATAATATAGACTCAATAAAGTGATTATGATGATGAAAATAATAATTGAAATTGAAAATATTTATGATAAAAAATATCTATAATGATGATGAAGGAAATGATACTGAGGCCGCTGACGATGATTATAATGATGACGATGATGGTGATGGTCTATATTTGAAGTTGCTTATAAATGTATCAAAAATCGTAACGTTAAGCAATATTTGCTTTGAAATAATACTAGTCTGCAACAAGGAGCAAACGAGCGACCGACAAAAATGGAACAAACGTGACAGATATCTTCCTTTTAAAATTGAATACTCTAAAGTCAATTGCGGGACTATTACGTGTAATCGCAGCGGACAGGAGAATGTTCTTCTAGCTTTTTCAGTCAAGAATACTCTTCTTTAAACAACACATATTTTCAAACATAGTATTAAAATGATAGTGTAAACGACGTTACATTAACAAACAAAATACATTTTAAAATTGTCGCCCGCTATGTTTCTAATTAAAGTTCATCATTTGCATATTTATTCTATCACCGTCGCTTTAACTATATATTTTAATGTAAATAACCTTAGAAATTGAAGTACTTACAACAGCACAAGTCTTTGTGACGCATCACCAAAGCTGATTTTGATCACGTCGGAGCTGCAAAATAAATCATGATAATTGTTATCTTGAACTTGGTAAATGTGAGCAAATCCACCAGTACAAAAAAAGCATATTCCGTTATAGCTTCACTGTGTATTACCTTTCACAATAGATTAGTCAACCTGTTGCGCTTATTTTCTAAGTTATGACCGTGACAGTTTGTTTGTACTCCCTGATTATCTCGGAAAACCATAAATATTCTTAATAACTAACTAACTAACTAAATAGGTTACTAACTAACTAACTTACTTACTTACCTACCTACCTTCCTACCTCGCAGCCAACCTGTCTACCTACCTACCTACCTAACTACCTATCTACCTACCTACCTACATTCTTTTAACGAATTAATTAACTAACTAAATAAATGAAAAAGATCTTACTAAACAGCTAACCAAGAAACAAAGCAACTAACTGACTTACTAACTAAATAAATAAATAGATAACTAAATAATAATTAAATAAATAAATACGTTTTATATTAGGATCAAAAAACAAAAACAACAATATACATATAAACACTTACATATCATAATTTTCAACATCTTCTTTCGACCAATACAGGTCAAATCGAAAGCCAGGACTGATCCCTTTAGAATCATTCCAAGATACTTGTTCAAACTTCTAAAATAGAGAAAATGCTATTATTAAATTTCGTAATTATTATTGAAAGAAATGAAAATTATTCGCTACTGTATGACGGTTCAGGTTGTTTCCAAGTAGTTTATTTGATAATTTTGAATCTTCAATTAATAAATAAATTGAAATTATAATAGGTTAAATATTAAATATATTTTCATATACATGTATATGAATAAAAGCATATTCGGATAATGCATTTCGAATAATACGCTCGTATTTATATTGAAAACGGAACCGCCGATCTACTTCGGATAATGCCGGGTATTCGAATAAAGGGTTGTCGAATAACCAGGGTCGGACTGTATAATAATAATAGCATATTACTAATTAAGTAAGCAATACAGGAGAAACGGTTTTCTTACACATATAATATCATGTAGAATATTTTACAGAATAAGTATGATATAAGGACTTTAATTACATACCTATTGTATTAAGTACTAGTCAGATGTCCCGTGCAGGCACCAGACCAGTATTACACGAAATTAAAATACACTTGTTAACAAGATATTATTACAAAATTGCTTAATATGATTTAAGCTGATTGTGAGTGAATTGTTACAAATTATTTTGTTTGCCTGAGGACGAAAATTTATTTTCATAACTGACCCGCTGAACGCGAGCATGGGCGAAAACTGAAACAATTAAGTCACATTTAAGGCCATCAAAACACGGGAAAAAACTCTGGATAAAATACTGTACTGAACAGTAGGCCTAGAAGGACCAAAATTTCAACGACAGAAATAGCAAAGTAAATAAAAATTGCGATATTATCGGAATTATCAAGTGTATTACAGAGAATAATACACATCAAAGACGGGCTCAAAGTCATAATTGGCCCTGAAATAAATAATGTCCCTTGATCTGAAACCCTCGGGGCCATGCATTATTAACTTTGCAGGTCAATTACACCTTCCGGTCCTCCTCTGCCTTATATTGAATTCTTAATACCTGATCCATTGTAATAAACAATAGTACTTCAAGAACTCAGTTCAAAATTATCAATACTCAGTGTATTGATTAATATTTGTGTTTTTGAAATCGGTTGATATCTCGACGACTTTGTTGAATAAAATAATCTCAAAATAATCTCAGAAATTCGATATATAATAATAATAATAATAATAATAGAATAAAACAAAAATTTAGTAAACA